TAAATAATAATTGTGGATGATAATAGCATGTAATATATATATATATATATATATATATATATATATATATATATATATATATATATATATATATATATATATATATATTAGGGGCTATTTTAGACTGTTTTTGACAGCGCCAACTGTATTTGGATTGGCCGCCCAAAATATTTTTTTTTTTTTTTTTTTTTACAGTTTTTACAGCAAATATTGTTATTTTTGCAAAAAAATGCCAATTTTTTCACTTTATTTCTTTGGGACCGCAGGTAAGACCGCCCAAATTTTTTTCCTTCAATAGCTCTAGTATGTATATGTATATAATATATTAGGGTGTCCCTTATATTGTAAAATTTTTTTTCAGATTTTCAAAATGCATACCTCTTATTTCTTTTTAAACTATCTAGACTTATATATAAATATTAAATACAAAATTTTATCCTCATACGACAACATTAACGCATGCCGACAGATCTCTGAAGATTTTGAATAATGCTGTTTTTAACCCTTCCCATTAGCTTCCAGTTAGCTAAATCAATTGAAACATTTATATTTTATAAGATATTTATTAAAAGAATATAAAATTACAGATAAAACAGGATGTTTTCTTTTAATGACCAAATAGCGTAACATAATCTAGATATGAGACATAATTAAAATATGTTACGCTAGGCTTCAGTTTGCACTTTTTAAAAAGTTGCACTTTTATAAGTAAAAGAAATACCCAATTGAGACGTAACTTTGATAATTTTTTTTCGTGACAAATTTCTAAAAAAAAATCCATTTGAAGTAACCAATATAATAGACTTACTTAAAAACAAAGTTTTATCTTCCTACTACACAACTAACACTCTAACAGAACCAACAAACTAACAGAATTCTGAAGATTTTGAAAATTGCAGTTTTTAAACTTTCTCGTTACGTAGCTAAATCAAGTGAAACAATTATATCTTATTAAATATTTATTAAAAGAATATTACAGATCAAGAAGGATATTTTTCTTTAAAGGTCTCTTTTTTACAGTCTAGATACAGATTTCTAGTATTTTGCACACAGCGTAGCAATAATTGCTTTTGTTCTTTCTTTGCAGTGATCAAACCATGAAAGTCTTTAATAAGTTTTACTGCTCTTTTAGCTGCATCATTTTTTTGCCTCTATATTGACAACATCTTCATCCCATGTTGAAACAGGTCTGTGGAGGAAGATCTCATTAATTTTTAATAAAAAAAATAAATTTTTGCCTTTGACAGAAACAAAATCAAAGTGCTCATTTATCCTTGGCGCTAATTTTGATCTGGGGTTGCAAGAAACATATCCTTAAAGAGTAAATAGCCCTAGCCATCCACATCACTTGATGCATTGCTCCAAGAAGTCTAATTTTTTTTTTAATTATCTATTTCTAAGAGATTAAAAATTAGTTACTGATAACCATCACGTAAAATAGTTTTTTGCAGTTCTTGATTATAAAATGTCAACAATTCTTCAAATGTTGTATGACTAAAATGTTGTTTGATGATATCGGTGTATGTTTCAATAGCAGCCAGATTAATAGTTTTCCAGTTGTCTCTAAACTTTTTGAACATTGGGATATCAGGGCTTGGTGGATTTTTGTTTCAAACACACATTTTAAAACCATTTCATAAGCATGATGACGGCAAGCAAAAAGTAGTAATTCCCTGTCTTTTTTGTTTCAAAGTACACTAGCTCCTTTTAATTGCCCTGTATTATAATCCTTTTTGCTTAAAATGTGATAAAGGTCTTCCTTCTTCTTTTTGTTGTAGTTTCAGAACTTACTATTTGAGAGGTTGGCGGTAACAGTTCCTTGGGGCTTTCATCGGTGCCGGTGTTTGATCACGATGTTCTTGCATTTGTATAAAATCTTGTGTAGTAAGAGGAAACTCACTTGACACATTTGCTGTCTTTTTTTTTTTAATTTTCTGTCTTGTCCTTTCTTCTTTTTCAGCGAATTTTTTTGTCTACAAAAAATTATCCAAAAAAGAATACTGGACGCCTTGGTTTTATTTGATATAGCAAACTAGCATGTGCTATATCAAATAAATTATCTAAATTATTTAGAAAGTTGTCCTTACGGTACTTGTAAATATCTTGGTTTTTTTTTGGATTTTTTTTTGCAACTCTCTCCAAAAATGGTGAAAATCTACAAGTATTTTTTTACACAGTTAGGTATAGCTCTGATAGGGATTCTAGCTTTTTCCTAAAATAAACTCTTAATTTGAACTTTTTTTTTAACACTCGTGAATGTTAAAAAAAAGTACAGCAAGAACATGATGGTAACTTTGCGCCTGTCATTTGAAAATTCACGTCACCAATTGTGATAAATTTTTTTATTACTTTCGAATTCTACTGCTATTTCTTAAAAATAAAACAATATGTATTTGTATGAGAATAACTGAACTTTTCTAAAAATGCAGATTTCGTTAAAGCGGTTTTTACAATGTCACAAAATTGATAATAACTATCTACCAACAAATTGTAAGTAGATAATTATTATATATTTACTATTATCAATTGGTATTGAATTATTAAGAAAATAGTTATCTATTTTTATTTATTAATTTTTCGTCATTGTAAAAACCACTTTAAGCATTTTAACAATAACATGAGTAAGCACAACTAATGTGCAACTTGAATGAACAAGTCGGCACGAATTATTGTACTCCAATTAAAATGAAAATTTATTTTTGAGTGTTTTAGACACAAATGAAGGAAACTAAGACGTATGCCTAAGAAAATAAAAACTTTGAAAAATAAGGGACACCCTAATATATATATATATATATATATATATATATATATATATATATATATATATATATATATATATATATATATATATATATATATATATATATAAGTGTAATATATAATTATTAGGAATGAAAACACATATATAAGATGCACCTATGCATAAGCAGTGGCTTGGCATGATAATGTCAATACATTAGCTTTTGAAACCATCAGCAATCATCAGCAAATAACATCAGCATCAGCTAACAGGCTGATCTACTTCTGGATTATTAGTAACAAAGGCTGATGTGACTGGTATATCAATAATAATAATGTCCTCACTACAAAAGCAAACTTTTTACAGCATAACTGCCATTTTCTGGATATTCCACATAAGGGAGTAAAGAAAACACAATAAACCTTCTCCAGACTTTTACATTGTGCACCTTCCTCAGACCCATATATTGTGTAAATCTTCCCCAGACCCTTGTGTTATCAGTTTTTTTAATTCATAAAAAATTGTTTACCTTGAGCTTTCCAGCTGCATGTGGCGTAATTTATTAAAACATAAGTATATTTGCAACTCTTGTCTAGTTAAACCATCATAACAAATTGGCTCATCACAGTATTTATGTAACACTGTTGGTAAAAGAAAATTATCTGTTGATGATACTGCAAAAAATTCACGAACATTCATGCTCAGATCCATACTACCATCTAAAACTTTGGTTGCCAAAGCATCGATGGATAGGAAAGGGTAGAAACTTATCTAAAGTATATACATACATGCACACACTTATATATATATATATATATATATATATATATATATATATATATATATATATATATATATATATATATATATATATATACATATATATATATACATATATATATATATACATATATATATATATATATATATATATATATATATATATATATATATATATATATATATATATATATATATATTTGTATAAACATAAATATAAATATAAATATATATATATATATATATATATATATTTATATATATATATATATATATATATATATATATGTTTGTATAAACATAAATATAAATATATATATATATATATATATATATGTTTGTATAAACATAAATATAAATATATATATATATATACATTTGTATAAACATAAATATATATATATATATATATATATATATATATATATATATATATATATATATATATATATATATATATATATATATATATATATATATATATATATATATATAGACACACACACACACACACACAAATATATATAGTCAAACATATATACAAACACATACACATTTATATACAAACATATATACATATTCATATATATACACACACATATATATAGTCAAACTTCACCAATATTTAAAAAAAAAATGATTTATCCCTTACTTCCATTTGCTTTATAAACATTGTCTGATGGAGAAGCAACTTATTGGGACAGGATACTTGAGCTAGGAGAGTCATGTTGTAATCTACAGATGCACCAAGACACTTGAAACCACGTAAGATATTTTTCTCACAAACAGGCACTATTTTATTTTCTAAAAAACAAAATTTTATTATTTTCTAAAAAAATAAGAAAAAGAATTTGTATATAAATAAAAATTATTTTGAACAATATTTGAGCAACTTCATATAGTTGTGGAATCTTCAAATATAAAATAAATTTTGTAAATAAAAAAAAAAAAAAAATTTTTTCTTATACTGACAATTGTTTCCAGACTCTTCTCATAAATTTTTATAAAACACTTTTGTTCACTTCTTAGCTAAGAAAATCTTATTTTTCTTGCATTTTTTTTTCTTAAATATATTTAATAAACAGTTTTTAAATATAATACATAACCAATCTGATATAATATATAATCTGACATAATATATAACCTATCTTTGATATATTGCATAACTTATGCATGATATAATTTACAAACTATATCTAATATAATATATAACCTATATATAAATATATTTGATTTATTTCACTGATTTAATGTCATTTTAATAATACTTTTTTTACTATATATTAAAATATACATATATATTAAAAATCGTACATAAAAATATATGTGCAATTACAAAAAATTTTATAATTTATTTTGTAACAGTTTTTAATTTAGCATCATTATATGTCTATTGATTGTGTATAGTAAGTAACCCTGGTCCCTGGTCCCGGCTAAAAATGAGACTTTCTGCAAATCTGGCAAAATTATAAGATCTAGCAGGGGTTGATAGCCGAGGCTAGAAATAAATTTATAATTCTTTATATATTATAATTTTATACTTACATTTACTATTTATTAAATTCTGGCATATATTTATGCTAATATTGAATAAATAGGGACAGACACAGTAAAAGGATAAAACTTATTGAATAAGAAGCTAAGCGAGAACGAGTTTTGGTTTATTGTAATAGAGATGATAGCTCATTTGAGCATTGACCATGATTAGAGAAACAGCATAAAAGAGGAAAGCTAAAGCTTGATGATGATAATGATGATAATGACAATGATAGTAATGATTATGATGATGGCGATGATGATGGTGATAAAAATAATTATGATGATGATGATTATGATGAGGATGATCATGATCATGATAATGACCATGATGATTATGATAATGATCATGATGATTATGATGATGATCATGATCATGATGATCATGTTGATCATAATGATGTTTATAAACGCATATATACAAAATCAAACATAAATTTTGAAGAAAAAAAATGTACTTTAGGATGTATAAATGTTTATGCAGCCCTGGTCACAAACGCGGCCCTGGCTCCGGCTATATTTTATCAAACCTGGTCCCAGCCCTGGTCAAATATCAACCCCGGTTGTTTACTAATTGTGTATGCTATTAAGTCAAAAAAGTAAAGTAAAATAAAAAACTATTTGTAAACTTCAATTAATTTTTGATTTAATTTCAATTACGATTTTGCCATTTTTATTTTATTTAAAAAGATTTAGTTAATTTATTTTAATAAGAAAGTTAAAAACTAAAAAAACTAAAAAAATACTCTAATATTTTGTCTTTTTTAAATAATGAAGGACAAGTAATAGCGGTCAAATAAATTTTATATTTTTAATGTTTAAAATTACTATCAGAACAGACAGATGTATCAATAGTTATTTTTGACCAGGCTGAGGAAAATGAATGTATAAACGCAAAATGTTTATTGTTAAATAAATAAATTAACTGAGTGAAAAATAAAAAAATTTGCTAAGTGACAAGTATACAGCTGATTTGATTGCAAAAAAAGAGAGAGAGCTGATGCTGATGAAAAAAAAGAAAGCTTAATTATTTCAGAAAAGTCAAGTCCAAGTTAAGAAAGGTTTGAATAACAATGAGTTGATTGAATTAAGTCAAGCTTTAAGTCATCCTAGAAGGCCAACACTCTTCTTCATTTCTTGTATCTTCTGGGGTACCTCAAGGGACTATCCTTGGTGCTGTTTTGTTTCTCATCTACATTAATGATCCTCCTGACAACCTAACATCTAAAATAGATCTTTTTGCTGATCACTCATCTTTCTTTTCTTTACAATAACTATTATGGTCGCTGAACAAAGGAGCTCTCGTCTCTAGTTCCATCACCTAAAACTTGTTTTTACTTGACTCGTCATTCAGCAAAGTCTCATTCATTTACTATATCTGTCCTAGCATGCTCTAAAAACTTTTACTTGCCTAGTTTTTTTTTAGTGCACTTCAACCCTTTGGAATTCTCTCCCACCTTAATGTTTTCCTGACTCATATAACCTCCAACTTTTTAGGTCTTCTGTCAACGGTTTTCTTGCTCTATAACTCTTTTTTTTTTCAGTAACACTTAACTTATTAGTGGTTGCTTGCAGCCTTATTGCGAGTGAATCAGAAAAAAAAAAAAAAAAAAAAAAAAAAAAAAAAAAAAAAAAAAAACCCAGAGTCATAGACAGTTTGAATGACAATGAGTTGATTGAATTATGTAGGAAAGCAGTATTATCATCCCAGAAAAAAAATGAAAACAAAGTTAAAAAAGAATTAGATGATTGAGAAAAAGCTTGATATGAGAAAAAGAAATGTGAAGCTGTGAAGGAAAAGGATGTAAATTAAGTAGAGTTGTTAAATGATGGTCAACTGGCAGCAAATAACCTAAAAGAGTTTGAAAAAAAAAAAAAAAAAAAAAAAAAAAAAAAAAAGAAAAAAAAAAAGAAAAAAAAAAACAGAAAAAAAAACAGAAAAAAAAACAGAAAAAAGCTGCATTTAAAGTAAAATCTTAAAGTTTGCAGCAATAACTGATGTAAGAAAATATTACTATGGAGGTGGACTATGAAGAAAGGTAAATATCGCATTTGATGTCACAAATTTCAAGCACAATTGCAACCTGTTGAACAACAGATTTTGTTTACAGATTATTTACAAGTGAAGATGAGCATAGTAAGTGACCAGGGCACTTTGCCCCAAGCTTGACTAAATATGGGAAAAACCCTACCCCGGCCCTAGCAAAATTATAAGATTAATAATCAGTAATTGATAGAATAAAATTTATGCATGTATTTAATATTTGCTAAATACTGGCATATAATATGCCGAAATTGAAACAATATATATATATATATTGTTTCAATTTCGGCAATTCTTCTCTATTTATATGTCATAATATTTGCCAAAAGACAAGATAATCACACGGATATGTTTTTTTTCTAACAAGACAAGAAAAGTTATCATCTTTGAAAAAGATTAAGTGAGTGCATTGGACAAGATCAGAGAAGATTAAAGTAGTTTGAGTGTGTTGAGCAAAGAGGATGCAGATGATTTAGGTATCAGCATGTAGAGAATCAGTTTCATGAGAAAAAGGTAGAGATAAAAGTAAGAAAAGTCGGAAAGAGAGCATTACATATGGCACGAAAAAACTTCAGTTTGAAAAAGTAGATAGATAAATTGCAACATGAATTTTAAATAAAAAATAATAAATTTTTAGGATGTATCAATGTTTATGCAGCCCTGGTACCCAAAGTAATAAATAATCCGAGAGTAGCTGACTGAGAGTAGTTGACTGATTTTTACTGATATTTTAATAAACTTTTAGAATTGTTTGGTGGGTAACATGCCTCCACCCCCACTCTGTTTTCACAGCCCATGTAATTAACATTTCATTATAAGATTGACTTATTTCAGTGTTAATTTTTTTAAAAACAAAATTAACACAATTGATAATTAATAGTAAAATCATAATAATTATTATATAGTATAATATAAAATACACTAAGTATATAAAATATAGAGTGATCAAACATTTTTGTGTCAGTTAATTGAGTGATCTTTTTACAATTAGGGAAATCACACCTCAGACACAACCTGCAAAAGGAACTAAAGCTGCTTTTCATCATGTCATGAGGTGATTATATTCTTGAATAAAAGTCACTTCTCATTATCATTAGTAATTTTAATAATTTTTACTAATGTCCTAGCTGACTGATAGGCTATTTGATCTTTCTATGTACTTGGATCTTCATCAAGAATCTTCTGTTCCAGTTTTAGTTTTTGAAAGAAATGCTTTGCGTATATGGAAACAAAGTCAGCCAAACACTTGTTAAGGCAGTATTCCCTTTTTGCAAGATGGTCCTTTATCTCCATCTTTGCTGACCATCTTTGAGACCACAATTTGTCTCTTTATGTCATTTGTTATTTTTTGATTAAAAAAACTAAAGCAACTAACTTCTCAGAGAAATACAACAGATGATTAAACAATTTGATGAATGCTGTAACTCTAATTCTTTTTTCATAATTCTGCAACAACTGGATCTGTTTGAGATCGTTTGCAGGTACATCTATAGAAAATGATGCCTTAAGACTTTAAGTAAACTTTGACAGTTTACCTGAAGTCTTGTACATAAGACACAGATTGCACAGAGCCCCTGCTCTTCTTTTTTTGACAGTTTGAACAATCAGGGAACAATCAAGGGAACATCTATTTTAAACTCATAATTTATATAGCTCACAACCAATTGAAGACCTTTTATTATTTAGTTACACAACATTTTTTCCAATTGCTCTTGATATGTGTTTTTCCAAGTGCTCTTGATGTATCTGTAAGTGCTCTTGATGTGTCTGTAAGTGCTTTTGATGTGTCTATAAACGCTCTTGATGCATCTATAAGTGCTCATGATGTGTCTGTAAGTGCTCTTGATGTGTCTGTAAGTGCTCTTGATATGTCTATAAGTGCTCTTGATGTGTCTGTAAATTTTTTTTTTTTTTTTTTTTTTTGCATTCACTGCCAACAAGGCTGCAAGCAACCACTATCAAGTTGGGAGTTACTAGGAAAAAAAAGAACAGAGTTATAGAGCAAGGAAACGGTTGACAGAAGACTTGAAAAGTTGAAGGTTGTATGAGTCAGGAAAACATGAAGATGGGAGAGAGTTCCAAAGGATTGAAGTGCGGGGAAAAAAACTAGATGAATAAAAGTTTTTAGAGCATGCAGGGACAGATACAGTAAACGAATGAGACTTAGCTGAATGACGAGTAAAACGAGAATGAATTTTAGTTGATGGAACTAGAGATGATAACTCCTTTGAGCAGTGACCATGATAGTATCTGTAGAAAAGAGAAAGAGATGCAACTTTACGACGATGGGAAAGAGGTTCAAGCTTAGCAGATAGTCCAGGTCCAACAACATTTACAATGCGTTTTTGGACCTTGTCAAGAAGAGAAAGTGAATCGTTAGAAGAACCAGCCCAAATATACCGTAATATGTTGACCATATTACGGTAGTTGTTTGCAGTAAGCAATTGGGTTTTTTTTAGAGTTGAAATTAACAAGCCACTGTGAATCCCAAACTATTACTGAAGTGAGATCAGATTCAAGATCAGCTGCTTGTTCTAGGCGATCGAAAAGAGAAGACTTTTTGTCAAGACAGGAGTATAAAGTTGAGTCATCAGCAAAAAGAGCTACTTTAGATGAAAGGTTGTCAGGAAGATCGTTTATGTAGATAAGAAACAAAACAGGGCCCAGGATGGAACCTTGGGGAACCCCAGAAGTTACTGAAAATAAAGAAGAGTGTTGGCCTTCAAGGATGACTTTAATAAACCGGTTAGAAAGAAATGATTTGATAATCTCAAAAACTTTCCCAGAAACACCATATGAAGCAAGCTTATGGAGAATACCAGCATGCCAAACTTTGTCGAAAGCTTTAGATATGTCGAGAGCAATAGCCCTAGCCTCACAGCCTCCATCTAATGCACGATAAAATCTTTCAGTTACAGCAGTTAGCAAGTCGGCCGTAGAGCGAGAGGATCGAAAACCGTTCTTGATGTGCCTGTAAGTGCTCTTGATGTGTCTATAAATGCTCTTGATGTGTCTATAAGTACTCTTGGTGTGTCTATAAGTGCTCTTGATGTGTCTGTAAGTGCTCTTGGTGTCTGTAAGTGCCCTTGATATGTCTATAAGTGCTCTTGGTGTGTCAATAAGTGCTCTTGATGTGTCTATAAGTGCTCTTGATGTATCTTTAAGTGCTCTTGATGTGTCTATAAGTATATACACTGCTTAAACAAACCAGGTAAACCTAATGGGAAAAAATGCATTGAAAAAGCAAATATTAAACAAAATATTTACTAATACTTAAAATATTAAAATACGTGTTAGCTCATATAATAAAATTATCATTATTATTATTAGCTAAAACATAAAAATATTTTAAAATTTTATTTGCTTAAAAATAAAAAAACCTTTTTTAATTTTAATATATTTTGTATATTTAAATATAATTAAAGAAAAAATCAAGCAAAACTCACAAGATTAAAAAGAAACTCTTATTACTTTTTCTCATTGTAAAGTTTTTTATTTTATTGCTTTTTTATTAAAAATAAGAAAAAAAAGTTTTGGTTTAAAAGGCAGTAGTAAATAACAAACTTTCTGTTTATTTTAGCGAGTTTTCTCTTCAGGAAAATAAAGATTAAAAAATAATGACTTGTCCTTTTTTAAAACTATTAAAGTTTAAAACTGCCGTTGTACTAACTGAATGTTAGATATAAAAAATTGAACTGAAACTTATTATGAAACTCAATTTAAAGACGATGAAATGTATAAAAAAATTTGAAAGAAAGAACTATTTTAAAATATTTATTCAGAGTGTTTTCTTTTGCTTTGTGGCAATAAAGTGTTAACTACTTTTATTAATAAATGAATATAAGTAAAAAATTTCAGTCTTAATAACAACATCGCATTAACTTGCATAGAATTTAATTTTAGAATTAACTTTTTATCTTTAATTATCTATATTTTACTAAAATAAAAAAAAATAAAAAAAAAAAAAAAAACATTGTTTAGAAAGTTTTGTTGTTTTCATATTCTTTTTCACTTATTAATAATAAAAGAAACTATTCCTTTTTAAATTCTATTTTATTTTTAGGTGCCCCCAAGAAGTCTTTATGATTCTATTAGAGAGCACAGCGGTAGAGCATTTGAAAGGAAGCTCGCGTCTCCTTCCTTACCAATGTTGGAAAATTTGCCAGAGGTATCGTTGAACCACAGATCTCTAGCTTTTGAGACAAGCATTCTAGCCACTGCGCTACAGTTGCTCTATGATTACAATAATAAAATTTACGATTACAATGATAAGATTTACGATTAAAATAATAATAACGATTACAATAACAATAATAAAATAATAATAAACCAAAATAACAATTACATTAAAAAGAGTTAAGTTTTAGTTGCTAATGTTTAAAAAAATTTGTTGTAAATGTAACTTGTATAATATACCCAATATTCTTAATTTGTGTGTAAATTTTTTAATTTATTAAGGTTACCATAAATATCTTTTTTATTTAAAAAGCACCTTAAAGTATTGCAAAAATTATTAACTTTTAATAAAAGTTAAACGTTTAAAAAAAAAACGTTTAAAAACGATTAAAAGTTGCGTAAAGTATTTTAAACATTAATAAAACAAGTTTATTAAAATTTTATTAATAAAAGAAAATTTAATTAAAATTACTAAAATATAATTACTGAATGTTTAAAATATTTTAAACAATTTTCAATAAATATTAATATACAATGGCATACTAATTATAACTTAAACATTAATTAAAATCCTAAATAAAATGATTTTTCTTAGTGTAACTAAAGTAGCATACACTTATGTCCACTGCCAAACTCAACTTATTTTAAAAAAAGGCCTTTAACAACAAGATGCAACTTTAAATCAAATCTTTATCTTCAGATTAAACTAAATAAGGTGAACACAAAGTAGGTGATATTTAAAAATCATTGTTGCAAAACAGGTTTTAATCTTGGACGAGAAGAGTGGCTGAGGCTACCTCAAGAAAATCACTACCCCCTCCCCCTTACATCAACAACAACAAAAAAAAGAAATGATATCCCCAAAAAATTCTAGTTTTGTTACTTATATATATATATTATATATATATATATATATATATATATATATATATATATATATATATATATATATATATTATATATATATATATATAGAAAATATAAAAAAAAAATATATATTTAAATAAATATTAAAAAAATACCTATATCAAAGTACTGTGTGGCAGTAAAGCTTGACGTTAACACAAACTTGTTGTTGATAACTTGCAATGAGGTTATAGGAGAACTATGACAGCTAGGTGAAATTTCACAGCCTAAGCATATTATTTGGCCTTCCTGGACCATAATTTTAAAAACTAAAATTTCACTTTCTTTAGCTGCCACCAATTGCAAAAAGCCATTCTTAAAATATAAATATAAAACTTCATAAATATATACTAGTGTAAATCTGTGTACCCATGCATGTATATATGAATGTATGTATGTATGTATATATGAATATTTGCGTGTATATACATATATATATATATATATATATATATATATATATATATATATATATATATATATATATATAAATATATATATATATATATATATATATATATATATATATATAAATATAAATATATATATATATATATATATATATATATATATATATATATATATATATATATATATATATATATATATATATATATATATATATATATATACACACACAGTGGTATGCAAAAGTTTTTGGCTTTTCTAATATATTTCTTTAAAAAAATGACTAATAGTTTTTAATCACTATAGAATGTAAGTATGAAATATAGGAAACGAAATATATAGTAAAAGAATATTATTCACATTTGTGAAAGTTATTTTTATTCAAATGTTATATTTACACATGGTAAGGTTTCTGACCACATAATATAAATTGAAGCAGAAGGATGTTCGAAAGCAAATTTACAAATAAAAAAGTGTTAAACATTTACATTTATTTTATAGAAGATTATAAGGCATACACAAATACAAATTTGTGAGTCATAAAAATTTTCGAAAGAAGTCTTCTCATAAAATTACTTCAGTATTATTGGTAGGTATATCAACATTGAACAATATTATTGTATCATTAAAGGCAATTTGACTGCGGATGTCAAGAAAACTGCTGCCAATATTGCACATAAGTTAATGGATGAAAACCTAGCTAATGTTAATCGTAGTACTGAGATTTGAAGACTACATGATAAAGGGCTTTTTGGTTGTAAAGGTATTAAAAAACCAATTATCAGTAAAAAGAATAAGGCTCAGTTACAATTTACCAAAGATAACTTATATTGGAAAATCAAAGAAAAAAAATAGCTTTCTCAGATGAATTTAAACTTAAAAAGCAATGGTAGGCAACATGTTTGACGTTCAATAGGCATAAGAAATAATGCTCATTTCCAAATTCTAACTATAAAACATGGTGGAGGAAGTGTGATGGTTTACGAAATTTTTTTTGTGATGACTTTATCTGTTTTACTGTTTTAGCAACTTTTATGTGTGTTTAAAGTCAATATAATGACTTTAAACACACATAAAAGTTGCTAAAACAGTGGTTTTAGGCTTCAAATGTGAGTGTTTTAAAATGGCCGTCTCAACCACCAGATATGAACTTAATGGATCACCTATGGAAATTATTAGAATGCCAAGTTAAAAAGCATTTATATTCATTATTTATAAAGCTGCATTATTCAAATCATTAAAGGAGGAATGAGATAAAATTCCACCTGCTTGTATTATTTGAATATTTGAGTCAATGCCACATCGTTGTGCAGCTGATATCACTGCAAAGGATATGGGTACAAAATATTAATACTAAAGTAAAATATAATTATATTATAGTACATGTAGAACAATAATTTTCTAATAACACAAATTCGCCAGAAATATTTGCAAGTGTAAATATAACAATTATTGTAATAAATATATTGACAAACATGAATAAAATTTTTTTACTTTATTATTTTGTTTTCTATATCTCATCATAACATTGCATAATGATTAAAAACCATTTGACTTTTTTAAAAATAAATTAGAGTAAAAATGTCACTGGTTGGAAAATTTTACACAGCACTGTATGTATATAAATATATATATATATATATATATATATATATATATATATATATATATATATATATATATATATATATATATATATATATATATATATAATTATATATATATACACAGTGCTACCATAAGTGCATAGAATATATAAAGAATTTTGTGGATTGTGGCTGCCACTGTTCTAATAAATTTCCACTTTAACACTTTAATTTTTCAAAATTAAACCTTCAGTTGATGAATATTATCACAAATGGCTATTTAAATATCATTACAATGTTCCATGCACAGTTAAGTAAAAAAAGATAACTGTTTATATATGTGTATATAATAAAGATCAAAATAAAAGATAAGTAAAAAAACTTGAAATGTTATAACAATGATTATAGTAGATTTAACTGTGTAATAAGTAAAGGCTTTTCTATTTCAATGCGGTTAACTTTGAGCTTATACTTAAAGGAAGCATATCAATAATGGAAGAAAAATGAGATCAGTAGAACTTGCGCATTTTTGTGTTGAAGCAAGATATTTGTAAATACGAGAGACATCACATTTTGAAATTATTTTTTAAAATTTTTAGTATTTTTATTTAAATACATTTTTTTAAATTTCTTTGAGTTGCTTTTTTTAGTTGAATTTCTTTCAGCTAAAATTAGCAAAAAACAAAGAATATATACAAAAACAATTTTTAATACTTGGTTGGCAATATGTTAAGGTAGTTTTTATGTTAAAGAAAGACATACTAGGTCCCTCTGTATAAAATCAACAAAACTATGTACAATGGCTACAGAAGGTTTCCTTAAGTTTTCAAAGGATCATAATAGCTACTCTTGCGACAGAATCAACTTGAACTTTAAGTTTCAGATTATTTAATACAAATATGCCTAGAGCAAATTTAATAACAGTGGTCTTGAGTTTGTGGATACCATGTTTTTCTAGTATGGTGTATATGAGCAATGAGCAGTGTTTTGATATGATGTACATTTGGATAAGTTTGACAATATTAGACATTAGTGTGACCATCACATGCTGTATGAAGTCAGGCAAATTACTTACATAACATGAATAGGACCGGAGCAAGGATGGATTCCTGGGGAACATTACTGAAGACATTTTGCCATTTAAACTAATATTGGCCTTTATTATCTCCTAACATGCCCAGTTAACCAATTATGAATCCAGTTCAGTAAACTATTTTTGATTCCATATGCTGTGAGCTTAATAAGTAGTCTTTTGAGAGGAACCTTATCAAATGCTTTGGAGAAGTTGGTACATATGACATCTATCAGAAGATCTTGATTCATTGCGTCAGTCACAATATCACAAGCTTTCAAAAGGTTAATGACACAGTTTTTTTAATTAAGAAAACACTGCTGTTTAGCTGATATAATATTATATGGAGGTGGAGATTCTTGAGATAGACCAATAGTTTTCAGCATTAATTTTATGGCACTTTTTAAACACAAAAGTTATTATGCAATGTTTTCTTTGCTCTGGAACTTCACTTGTCAGTAAAAAATGATTGAAAATAAGATAAAGTGATTTGGCAAATAAAGCACTTTTGGAACACGAGTGGTCTAATGTCATCAAAATGAGTCAATTTGTTTAGCTTTAATAACAAGTTTACATTCAACTGATTCAACTGTGATGGACTCAGTTGCTATTTATGTGAAAAAATGTGGTGTCTTGTTACAGTAAACTGTTTGTAATTGCTTTATCCCTGAAGATCACTATTAATGAAATGAGTAGTGCAGAAGTCTTTATGATAAGTTCAAAGTGGAAATGATTTACAATTTTAGACTTGTCCTCCTCCAACAGTGAAAATATCTTTTCAACTTCAGTTAGTCCCTATCCTGTTGCGATTGTTAGATCAGTCCTGGAAGATTTTGAGGCACCACATACAATTTACTGTTTTGACTACTGCATTTCAAACAGTAGTGTTTTCAGGTGTTTGTGCTGCTTTAGTGAGTTTAGTTTTATTTCAATTTTAGATTCAATTTGGTAAATCATTCTTCAGCAGTATTGAGTCTAATATGAGTGTGGGTTTAATGTCATTGTACTTGTTGTTCTATATGTCGGCCATCAGTTGTTAGTATAGACAGTATGAAATTGGAGAGTTAAGTAAAATAAATTGAATACTTTTGAATATTGAAATTGAATATTTTTTTTAAAGATTTTTCAAAATTCTTTTACGATTTTTATGTGTTTATCTGAGAGTTTCAATTTAAAAGGTTTTAAATTGTTGGTATTGAAAACGTGATCTTTTTTAAGCCTAGACAAAGATCCAAACAAAAATTATATATTAACTTGATAAAAAACAAATACAGTAATGATTTGAGTGAATTAATGAACAAACAACGTCAAATTTGGCAATCCATTCAAAGCCTTAAAGTCAATTGATATGCAACAAAATAATCAACTTTAGATATTCAAAAAAGATCTTCAAAAAGTAAGAAAACTTGAAAAATTAAATTAAATGAAAACAAATTAAAATATATTAGAATTAAATAAAATTGTTAAAAAATAATAAAAATTTTAAAATTAAAAAAATAAAAATACCAAGTTTACATTATTCAAAAAAAGCATAAACAATAAGAAAATAAAATAAGTGTAAACAATAGTATAAGAAAAGAAATTTAAACCAAAACAAAAAGTTTAACATAAAAAAAAGTAAATGAAACAAATATATTGCAAACTTTAACGAAAAAAAAAAAAAAATAAATCAAGTAAAAATTGTAGATATTTTGAAATGAAATATATCAAGTAATAATAATAGAATATAGATAAGAAATAAAATTATGATGAAATTATTTAATTTTAAAAATAAATCTTACTCGAAAATAATAAATCCTGACAATATAAAAAATAGATGTGAAACTAATTTAAATGCTCAAAGATACTAGGTGTGTAGTGTCTAGTGGTTTAACAAATATACCCAGCATTACAGATAGAACATACAAATTTATAAACAACACAAAAGATTTAAAATTTTGGTTTGGGGGGAATTTACCTTCGCCGGAAAACTTCCACTGGCATAGATTTTAACAAAAATGAATTCACAGGACAACAATGACTTAATAGAAATTAGTTTGATTAAACATGATGAAAAATTCATGGGTTAAGATTTCACTTTTCAACAAGACAATGCTGCTATCCACAATTTAAAGCTTAAAAAAGTTTGGTTTAGAGAAAAAAAAATTCATGCAATGGAGTGGCCTACATGTACTCCAGATCTAAACCCGATTGAAAATCCTATGTTGAATACTTTCTAGAAAAGTTTATGAAAATGTTAAGCAATTTGA